AATCTGGGATATTGTTTTAGTGAATGGAATGAGCTGCCGAGGTGCGTACCTCAGCTTCAATTCTGGCTGCGGAGACATCTCCCCTTTTTTGGGGGGAATAATCTCTATCTCTTCTTGGAGACTTGTCTCGGCCTTTTTCTTTCCTGGGACTTCTGTCCCTTTTCTGCTCTTCTTTCTCTTTTTTCTTCTACGTGGATGAGTTTTTCACTTTAGAAAGGAGAGTCTCCTCACCATTAATGTACTTTTTTATCTTGGCAAGCACCTCGGCCATAGTGGCTTGGGGACTTTTTAGATATGGAGAACATTAAGTCCTTCGAATGCACTCCTAATCCAGCGATGAAAGTAGTGATGGCTAATTTTTTGTCTGGAACATTCACCTTCAGTGATTCCGAGTTGAACCTTTGGACATAGCATCATATGTTCTCGTCGGGTCCTTATTTTACATTTAACATATGGTAGCTCAACTTTTGGTAGGTCCGACCTCCTATGAAGTGTGACACAAAGGATATGGAGAGCTCTCTAAAGGAGAAGATGGACATCGGGGCTAGCCTATTGAACCATGCTAAGGCTGAGCCATTTAATGTGATGGGGAAAGCTCAATATCATACAGGATCTTGATATCTGTGCAACTCCATTTGGTTATTATAAGTGTTGAGGTGATCCATGAGATCCTTTGTTCCATCAAAGGCCTCCATCTAGGGCATTCTAAACTTCAGAGGGAGGGGGAAGTGTAGTATATCAACAATGAATGGGGACTCAGGCTGCTATACCAGGGCGTCCATGGTTACTAGGTCTTACATCTCACAGCCTCCTTCATGTGGCTGAGTTCCTGCTGGATATCCTTGAAACGATGTTCCCAATATTGTTCACTTCTTTCCTGTGGGAAAGGGAGAAATTCGTTTTGGCTTTGTTAACCTCCCTTAGTGGATCGAAACGTTGATGCTCCCCTTGCGGGGGTTCATCCTAGGTTGGTCGTGTCTTCTAAAGACATTGTAGGAGTTTCAGGAGTTCCTCGTTCTGTTGTAGTAGACGCTGGTTGAATAGGCAAAGAGCCTCCAGTTTGTTATTCAAAAGGGGATTTGCCATGGAAGGATTAGTCTCATAATGGGTAGGAAGTCATGAAGATTTTCTTATTGTCTTCCACTGGTGGCTTCCTACTGGTTCTGCAACTGCTGAGTATTCAACTGGGTTCTGCTTATATTGCACTTAAAGACTAACAATTATTGAAGAAAATTAGTATATTTGTAACAGGAACAGTCGTTCCCACAGACAGCGCCAAACTGATTGTGCGTAAAACGTGATTGAGCAGAATATATATATAGTGGGATTTGATCTATGCTACAAGGCTATGGGGAATAATGTGGCAATTAAAGGGGGTAAGGGGTGGATTGCATAGAAGAGTTATAGTGGTTCACCAGTTCGANGCTATGGGGAATAATGTGGCAATTCAAGGGGGTAAGGGGTGGATTGCATAGAAGAGTTATAGTGGTTCACCAGTTCGAGAGCTCAACTAATCCACTCTTTAATAGAGTCTCTTACTCCTGAGAATTATATTGAAGATTATGAAAGAATTACACAGTCTTCTTAGTATCTTTAGTTGCCTACCTCAAAGTAAGAACTTTGTACAGTATTTATAGTCTAGTTCCTAGTTTCATGGGGTTTGAGGCGAGATCTCTGCCCCTCCTTCGTAACGCTTTGCTTGATTTCAGGCGATGGTTTAGGCGGTTGAGGTTCTTGTGCCTAGACTGGCGTTTATTGCCATTGTGAGGGGTGTCTAGTGGTTACCAACTGTTTTCTACTCATGTTCGTTGAGGTNATTTAGGCGGTTGAGGTTCTTGCGCCTAGACTGGCGTTTATTGCCATTGTGAGGGGCGTCTAGTGGTTACCAACTGTTTTCTACTCATGTTCGTTGAGGTGTAGGTCTAGGGAGCTCAAGTTCTGAACCTTCAATCTTGAGCTTCCTTGGCTGAGCTCCCTTCCCGAGCTCAAACTTTGAATTTTTCTAGGCATCATCAGCACTGTTTCAGATTCGAAGTGGATCATGGTCAAAAATGCAAGTACCATTGGTGCAGGTGCCGGTACCAAAAATTCAAGTAGGCTTAGATACCGGTACCTATGATACCAAGTACCGTTATGTCCTTGATTTCTTTCACATCAAAAAACCTCCTAATCCTCATGTAATATGTTCATCTCTCCACCACTCATCCACACTTAGTTGTAAGGTTTCGAAAGTCATCATTTACCCCATGATTACCTGTAACATCAAAATTTCTATATTATTTTTCTAAATAATTAAATGTAAAGTTGAGTTAAAATACATGTAATGAGACCGTTAAATATGTAATATTACGTGCTTATCATTTTGTATGAGAGAAAAATGGGTGGATCTAAAATGAATGATGGAAAATAGGAGGGTGGGAAATATTTTTACTTGTTTGGTTTCAAAGAAAAATGTTATGGAAAGGAAAAAGAGGTGGAAACATCATCCCTTGCGCCCAGCAATTTGTGTCCGTTTGTTTTAAGGCGGAAAGCTGGAGACAAGGGACACTTCGAGGAGGGGGTCAAACCAATTTACAATTATGACCTCCTAACTTTCATGTTTACGCAAATATCGGCACACAGACCTACGAAATCTTAAGTTGGACATTAATTAGACTCTCTAGGAAGCAACTTGTGCACCTTTTTTGGGCACTTTTTTTAGAAAACTTTCCAATAAATTCTAAAAGGCTGTTTTTTAAATTTAATACTAGAAAAGTGATCTATTTTATTTTTTTTGGGAGAGAGGAGAAAAGGGGGTTGAACTTTTGATCTCAATAAGGCAAAATTTTTATAAAATAAAGAGTATCATTGGATCAAATGCCCATTGGTAAAAAATTGATCTATAATTTTCACTTGACATAGTAAAATTATATATATTTTTTACATTTTTTCATTCATACACACTTTTTTTTTAAACAATTTGTTTTTTGATTCATGAAGAAACCGACATTTTGTATCAAATGTACATTTTTTTGCTATATATTTGTATGTATTCGTTAATTTCTATAGAAAGCTAAAGGTACTTTGGACATTTTCAAATGCAATTGAAAATTTGTTTTTCGTATGTATGGGTATAACAATAAATTAAGTTTGTAAGTGTTTTCTTTCCTTTTATTTTTGCTCTCATACCAAATAATAGAAAGATAATTTCTCCAATTTTTCATCCATTGTGTCAAACAAAGAGAAGAGAAAGTATATTTCTTTCCTCAAAAATAAAATTTTATCCCTTATATATATATATTTTTTTTTTCCGTCCCTCCTACCAATCAAACCATAAAAACACTTTCTTAAACAGTGAACGCCTCCCTTGTCGATCATGAAAAGTCTCAGATAACAAATATATTAGAACTAGCTTAGTAACTCAACTTCAACTTCAACTTCAACTTCAACTTCAACTTCAACTCAACTCAACTCAAAAATGACGATCGTACCCCGACAAGTGGAATTTGGGTTGAATGTTGCTTTTCGACTCCTGAAGATTCAAAACTACAGGTAGATGATGAGCCCACTCATTTGGATCACTTTGGACACCCCCGTGGTCTGAAATGGGTTTGGTGAAATGTGTTGCGGGCAAAGAATGGCATAGATTCGCAATGGGATATAAACAAGGAGGGCAGTATTGTAACTTCATAATGTCAGGTAAGACTATTACAGTAACAAGGGTGAACAGTGTAATTATATAAACAACATAAAAAAAATATATAAACAGCATAAGGAGCAGTGAAAGTCTGAAAAACAACACGTTGTGCTTATAATTATGAGACACGCACTATCTAAGCGCGTGAATACTTTTTCTTCTTCTGATGTACTAAGGTTCCTATCCTGCCAAACAATGGAGAAAATTACAATCTCAATATCTAAGTTCTCGCTCAACGTCCAAACCCAACAACTCTGGAGAGAGACAGAGACGGAGAGAAACAAATGAGAAACCCATCGAAACCATCGTCAAAATCAGGTGGTGGAGCTGGTTCTTCTGGGTCATCGACGAACAGCAAAACGACGCCGTGCTGCATCAAGGTGGGGCTGAAGAGAGGTCCATGGACGCCCGAAGAAGACGAGCTCTTGGCCAACTATATCAGGAGGGAAGGTGAGGGACGGTGGCGGACGATGCCGAAGAAGGCGGGTCTCCTCCGCTGCGGGAAGAGCTGCCGTCTCCGGTGGATGAACTACCTCCGCCCCTCCGTCAAGCGCGGCCACATAGCTCCAGATGAAGAAGACCTCATCCTCCGCCTTCATCGCCTGCTCGGCAACAGGTATGTACAAATTGAATAATATTGTCAGGGCAATCACTCTCTCTCTCTCTAGATTTTAATTGTGTTTCGGATATGGGTTTCCTGCGTTTTGGTTGTTACGGGATATGGGTCTCTCTCTCTCACACACAACTTGCTCTCTCTACAGACAAGAAATTTGAGTATTAGATGCGAGCTTCTAATGTTTTGGTTGTGACAGGATATGGGTCTTTCTTTCTAGATAAGAATTTTTTGTTTTGGATAAGAGCTTGTTGGCTTTTGGTTGTGACATGATACGAGTCTCTCTCTCTATCGTTTCTCTAGACATAGATTTTTGTTTGGACATGGATTTCTAGGGTTTTCGTTTTGATAATATGACTCTCTCTGTCATACATACACGCACACAATATTGGATGTGTGTGTGACATATGGTTGTGTAGGTGGTCTTTGATAGCTGGGAGAATTCCGGGACGGACAGACAATGAAATAAAAAACTACTGGAACACTCACCTCAGCAAGAAGTTGATCAGTCAAGGGATAGATCCCAGAACCCACAAGCCATTAAACACCAATATTTCCGACAAAGCTTCTTCATCGAACGCATATCACTCCTCACACTATGACGCTAATCTTGTTCTTTCATCTCTTGAAGAAGCTCAAACTGATGGTCCAACCATCGTCAACAGTGGAAACAAGACCTGTAATCGAATTGACCTTGATCAGTACAACAGTGTGGCATCAGAAAATGGTGATGATGATGACGACGATGATGATGATATTAATTATTGCACCGCCACCGACGATGTGTTCTCTTCATTCTTAAATTCTTTGATCAATGAGGATGGGTTCAACTGCCAAAACCAAGTGGAACAGCAAGAGACTAATATGATTGCAAATGGGTCAGATGTTTTGATCACTTCTACCCAGACTTTTGCCTTTGGTGATGGTTGGGATGCTCCGATTATGTCTTCTGCTTCTGCTTCTGCTTTTAGCCACAAAGATTCGAAGAAGCTTAATGAGCATCTTGGAAAGCATTTATGAAGCACTTAATAATCACATAGATGAACCTATATTGGGTTAGTTGATAAAAATTCTAGGGTTTGTAACGTTATTATGTGTATCGTGTGTACATGTTTTGTGCTTTTCTTCCACTTCATCGCCTCGCCCGTCTTTTATTGTTGTGGTGTTGAGGTTAAATGTTATTACAACTCTCAAAAAAAAAGCCAAACAATCATACATTTCAATATTTGTCTTATGGTATGAATGCATGTGTTCTTTTGCGTAGGCCGAAGAAATTGAAGCCATAAAACAAAGGTTTGTTCTAATTGGTTTCCCTTCTACTCCCATATCGCCCTCTCCCCATCGAGGAAATATTCAGCTTAAATGTGATACTGGATGATCAGTGACACCTGCATCATTGTACAATGATAAAGCATTACATAGAGTCAGCAAACCTTGTAAATTTCTTGTCTCTTACTCATGCAACTCAATCTAAACGTATCCTTGACGACGAAAAGTCATCATTGTATTGAATATACTCCCCCTCCCTCACTTCACACGATGCTAAGTTGTATATGATGCCACACAACAAGTACCCCCTCATTTATTTTTTCTCTCCTCCTTTATAAGTGTACTCATATTTGACGTGCACCTACTGAGGATTAATAAAAGTCTACACCGAAGAGATGAAAATTCATATGCCAAAGGAGATTCAAAAAGTCGTAAAAGTTTTGATATCACTCAAGATTGTACAGTACAGTAGTCGTTGGAAGAGCAAATACAAACGGATGCCAGTAGAGTTGGGCAAATCAAACACTACAGTAGTCATTGTAACAGTGGGCACAGTAGCGGAGCAACCGTTGGCAGAGCAGTTTTGGAATGTGCTTCAGCTAGTATTAAAGGAGAAGAGGAGGATGGAATTTGCTTGGGTAGAGGTGAAATGTTGGATACTGAATCCTCGGGAGTAAGCCATTGTGGAAAATTAGTCTAATCAAGAAACAATCAAGAAAATCGCTATAAAGAACAGAATTCAGACAAAGAATACAGTGGAAGCTGAAAGAGTTCAACTAAGAACAATATAAGTTACAGTAATGAAGGAAGAAAAATGAAAGAAGAAAGCCAAAGCTTTGACCTCAGAAGATCTCCAATGGAGATTTTTTCACTTCACACTTTCTGTTAGTCTTACAATGGATATTTATAGAGAATACAAAAGCCTCTCACTCTCTCTCTTATTATCAGTGCGTAATGTACACACTTGTGCAAGTGGTTACAACTGGAATATAACAACCTGCTGACTTGTCAGAATTTAAGGATCTGCTTTAAGTATGGTCACAGTGCTCTTGACTGTAATCACAGAATGAACTATTCATATCAAGGAAAGCCACCTTCCAATCAACTAGGATCTAGGAACTATGAGGGCTACTACTGAACCACCACAGTCAAACTCAAACCACTGGCTTGGTGATACAGAGCTACAAATCATCTTACAGCTGAACTGGCCAACCTATATCTTCCTACAGCCTATCAAGGAACAGATCAAATTGCAGTTGGCAATGGTGAAGGTTTACCAATCACACACATTGGACACTCACTTCTTCAAACACCTTTGCCCACGTATAATCTAAACAAAATTAGTAGAGTTCCTTCAATAGCGTCAAACTTGCTCTCTGTGCATCAATTATGTTCTGATAATAATTAACAGTTTTTTTTTTATGCAAAGCAACTGATTATTCAGGACAAAGCCACAGGGATTGTTCTTTATCAAGGTAGGAGCTGTAATGCACTTTATCCAATTGCTGTAACTACACCTTTAATTGCTGCAACTGCATCTCCTTTGAAATCATCTTCTCAAGCATTTGTTGGATCAAAGATTTCTTCTCTCATTTGGCATTCAAGAATTGATCATCCATCATCATAAATTCTTAGTCAAATTCTGCATTCTGCATAGATTAATACTGATATTACCTCACCTAAAAGGGGAACCACCATACAAGGATGGGTTGTCCTCGACTGAAGCATGTTATAAGTATCGCTTGAGGTGTCAGGGGTAAAGCTNTTCAAGAATTGATCATCCATCATCATAAATTCTTAGTCAAATTCTGCATTCTGCATACATTAATACTGATATTACCTCACCTAAAAGGGGAACCACCATACAAGGATGGGTTGTCCTCGACTGAAGCATGTTATAAGTATCGCTTGAGGTGTCAGGGGTAAAGCTTTGTGTTATATATAAGTAATTCGGTCTTCCCGGGTGCCCGAGGGGCTTTCTTTGTGAGTCCTTAAGATCACTGAAGGGCATTCTAAGTCGCTGTCAAAGGAAAGGTCATAAAAGCCTTTGTCTGTCTTGCAGCTCCTCTTTTTGGGCTCCCTGCTCTATTTGAAAGCTCTTTATAAACCTAGAAGATATTGCTTTCATAGGCTTGTTACAACAAATAAATGCCCTACAAGAGAGACTTCTTCCTGGTATAGTATCTACGACCTACTCTTTTGCTTTACACGTGAATATATAGCTATCTATATATCATATCCGGCTTCTACTTTATTGCCGTTCTATTCAGGACGACACGGGTCATGTTCTATAAAAATAAAATTTATATTTTCTANCCTCTTTTGCTTTACACGTGAATATATAGCTATCTATATATCATATCCGGCTTCTCCTTTATTGTCGTTCTATTCAGGACGACACGGGTCATGTTCTATAAAAATAAAATTTATATTTTCTATTCAATGAAATGTGGAAACATGCTAGTTTCCTGCGAATTCCCTATAGGCAACATAAACATATATAAAAAAGATACTAAAGTGCTAACACCCTATCTATAGTATAGTAATAGGTCTTTTTAATAAGGCTCGTGTAGGGGTGCTTACTTTTTTGGCTCCCTTCGCTCCACTAGCCTTGATTGGCGGATGGAAGTACCAAGGTGCGTATAGTGATATTGTATATAAGATAACATTGTATTTAGGAGTGATCGTTCCTTCTTCTTAAAGCCGTTGATGATCTCACTTTCGAAAGAGAGCCCTGAGTTCATGTTCGTAGCTAAAGCAAAAAGGGAGCTAAATCAGGGCCACTATTATGAAAGAATAGAGTCAAGGCTACACAGTAAAAGCTAGTCTCTAACAAGAAGCAAAACTAACTTATTTATTAGCGAAGCTAGCTATAATACCTTTTTGCTTTAGACACATGGCCTCTGAAAGAGGCACCCTATGTAACTTTCTGGTCCGGTAAGTGAAAGAAAGAAGGTGGATAGCTAGCCTTAGTCTTTGTATTACTAAGTTTAAAGGTAAGACTATTTACAGATATTAAAACTCTTTCCTCATCTTGTTATTCTTGACCAAATGGAATTACGTAAGGGACGGACTTCTCTCACTATTAGACTATTAAGTAACATGTAAAGTAAATAGTATTTGTTCCTTCCCTCCGACGTAAGGCAAAATCCATCCCTTTCTCTACCGCTATTGAGATAAGTGCTGATATCAGGATTTGTCTTTCTGGGCTAACTCTGCCAAGATTCAATCCTAAACACCCACTGCACGAGTGGAATACCACTTAGTCAAGTAGAAAGGGCAACCTATGAGTGAGGCAAGCTTGGAACAAGTTGAGACTTACGAACCAAATACCAAGTCAGAGACTACTGGACGTCTCACGAAACGACTCTCAAGGAGGATGTTGAGACTATTCAGGAAAAAAAATCTTTTTTTTTTGTTTTTGCTTAATCCGCCTTTTCTAAAGATTAAGGAGTACACTTGTACTCTGGCTAATAGGGGAAAATTTCCTTTTTCAAAGTAAGCAAGCTATCTTATGTAATTAATGTAAAAAACCCGAGGAAAATAACATCAAGTAGAAACAAACAAGATCTTACGGCATGATTACAATATTTTTTTCTTTTTCTTTATCTCTCTTCTATGGAAAGAGGTAATGATACATGATGAGATATACCTGATCATTTAGTTAATGAGACGTACGTAAATCGACGTAACTCCATGTATATGTTATTTGGAGCTAGAACCAATTAATAGAATAAAATTCAATAATGGTAAGCCTAGGGCTGGGCGATGAACATGGCTCAAGAGTTTCTATACAAAGTCCTAACTTCACTGACGCATTNGATGATACATGATGTGATATACTTGATCATTTAGTTAATGAGACGTACGTAAATCGACGTAACTCCATGTATATGTTATTTGGAGCTAGAACCAATTAATAGAATAAAATTCAATAATGGTAAGCCTAGGGCTGGGCGATGAACATGGCTCAAGAGTTTCTATACAAAGTCCTAACTTCACTGACGCATTCGCTCTTTTAAAGTGATGTCAAATTCTCACCCCCGTGGTTTCATCAAAGATCTTATTGATCTCATAAAAGATGTCTTCCTTCATTTGATAGTATGAAACCTTTAACCAAATCGGGCACTCAACAGTTTTCTAAAGTGCCCGATTTGGTGTAACAGTTTTCAATGTGTCAATTCTGGGATACACGACTAAGTAATAAATAGATACCTTTACCAAATCTGNCGATGTCAAATTCTCACCCCCGAGGTTTCATCAAAGATCTTATTGATCTCATAAAAGATGTCTTCCTTCATTTGATAGTATGAAACCTTTAACCGAATCGGGCACTCAACAGTTTTCTAAAGTGCCCGATTTGGTATAACAGTTTTCAATGTGTCAATTCTGGGATACACGACTAAGTAATAAATAGATACCTTTACCAAATCTGAGGTATTTGATTGGTTCGTTTCAGCTTAAGCCAAACACTCAAAGAGTAGCATTGGCTGCTATATTGGAGCTGTGATATTAGCTATAGGGTTAGGTGAATCAGTCACAACAGAGGGAGACTTCCCCTTCCCCCTCCCAAAAAAAAAAGTCACAATAGAGGGAATTGTGCTTTAATGGATGTTGTTACTTAGGCTACTGCTATTAATAGTTTATTGTAAAATTCTACGATAGAAGAAAGATACGAAAGGAAGATTGAACAAAGATGTATCTTTAATAGGATACATAAACTTTTTCAATATGAAGGGAATTCTGATGTACGAGAATTCTAATACACTTACTCAAAAAGACAAGACACAGGGTACCTTTGGAAATCAAGTCAAAGCCCCCTTGTTTCATTCAGTCATTGCAAAAAACAAATCAAAAGTAATATAACAATCTAACGTGCTGAAGCGGATTGTGGTTCATGGACTATAGTTCCATTTCCCCGCTTTAGTGTTTGAGTTATCCGTATGGTCCTATCTTTTAGAGAAGGTTCATGTAACGGAGGACGACTTCTCCCTTGGGTGTCTANTAATCTAACGTGCTGAAGCGGATTGTGGATCATGGACTATAGTTCCATTTCCCCGCTTTAGTGTTTGAGTTATCCGTATGCTCCTATCTTTTAGAGAAGGTTCATGTAACGGAGGACGACTTCTCCCTTGGGTGTCTATGGCCGGAACGAGTCCGTTTTACATGGGATCGTCTAAACAATCGTTTCACTGGTATCAATTTAGATAATTTTGAGAGGGTAGCGGGGTTGGTTTTTGGAAAAATGACCAAGCCTACATTTCCTTTGTCTCAAGCAATGTCTTTACTACCTTTAGAACTTCTGCATAGTGATGTCTGGGGTCTTTCTCCAGAATTATCACTTCATGGTTTNTTTTTGAGAGGGTAGCGGGGTTGGTTTTTGGAAAAATGACCAAGCCTACATTTCCTTTGTCTCAAGCAAGGTCTTTACTACCTTCAGAACTTCTGCATAGTGATGTCTGGGGTCTTTCTCCAGAATTATCACTTCATGGTTTTAGATACTGTGTCATTCATTAATGATTGTACTAGATACACATGCTTGTTTCCCTTTGTAAATAAATTTGACGTTGCTACTATAATTCAGAAGTTCAAATCATATGTGGAAAACTTATTTTCTTAGAAATGGAGGANGCTTGTTTCCCTTTGT